TTTTTCTCTAAAATCAATATTTTCGGAGATATTTAGTAAGAACTGTCAAAACTTTGAAGGGGGCTGGGGGGCAAACGAGGCTTTGTCGCCAAAAATCCTTTTAGGGACTTTCTTCTCTAATCAAGGATAAGCTTTGGCAAAAATTTCAAAAAAATCGGAGGGTTGTCGCTTTCGGAAGTACACCCAAGTATAAAATAATTTGTACTTCGTTTATATAATTACGTAACAATTATTGGTAATTATTTAGATTACGGACGGTAACTCCGATTTCGATGATTTTTGAATATGTTGTAGAAATCAACATTTTGAACAACTATTTCCTATACATATAACCGCCGCTCGGCGTTAGTTTTCGAGATATTTTCGAAAAACTGTCGAAACTAATACATATGAACGGAGCCTTTAAGGTTCCACGACCCTCGTTTCTAAACGGAAAGTAAGTCGCAACTAATAAACATTATTGAATAGAGTAAATATTTATGGGCCACCGTGAAGTGGAGTCACTCGGTCATCCGTGTCTAAACAAACGATAAGCGGTCGGCTACCTCCCACCAACACGAATGCCGAGCGCTCTCATCGACGCTCACGCATGGGCTGAATTCTCTGTAGTAGTACCGAAAGTATTTCGCAAATATCTTCAAAACTAAAAGAGACCGCCACAAACTTCAAAAGGAAAAAGTTGTTCAAAATTACATCCCCCACCGCATATCCAAAAATTATTAAGATCGGAGTAGAAAGCAAACTTTTAAATAATTACCGAAACATTTTATCAGCTTTCAGTATATGTTGTAATGTACTCCGCAATTAAAATGCCAATCGTGAGTTGTTAATTGTTATACTACATTACAGTCATCTGCGCATTTAAATCATATCGCGCAGGCTCTTGCGCAAGCTCTTGCGCAGGTTTCCCCACTTCTCCGGTGTTGAAAAGAGAGAGAAACTCACCTTTCATCTTTTCTCTCTCTTGTATTACCGCTTATATAATGGATGCTCGGTCTATATTTACTACGCCTACGTTCGCAACATTTGCTTTCGAAGCAAGAAATAGATTGCATTATTCAATTTATTTCAAAGTTTTGAAAGTGTAAAGTGATTAAAGTGACAAGTGATTTGTTGTGGGATAGTGACGATGAGTTATGTTGAAAATATTCGCGTGGTTGAAGATACGAGAAATCAGTGCAAAGATCAGTGTATGAGGGGAAATAGAAGTCGTCGGCCAAAATTAACAATTAGTATGAGACGATACTCGAAAAAAAAAGCATGCCGCGAAAGAAGACGGCGCTTAGCCCTTCAGAATACATCCGTACCGTCAACATCCGATGGACAAAGATACACTCCCGAGAAAATTTACTTACCATTGAATGAAGAAATAGAAACGGCAAATTCGAAAGAAATGTTTGAAGAAAAGATGGAAGAATTGTTTGAAATTCAAGATACAAACAATACAGAAGACGGGTCAAATATAGAAAGTATAACTTCCCAAAATGAAGAATTGGTCATACAGAAAACTGTAATGAACGAGCCTGAAACACAATCCGGTGTACCAAGTGGCTTAAGTATCGTGGACATGCAGCACATCTTTGACGAATTTCAAAAAATAAGTGACCATGCTAAAAACAGGGAAGACTGTGGGATTAGACACCTAAAAATAACCGGCATGAAACGGTCGGGCCTGAGGACCACCCTCAGTGTAATATGCGATATGTGCAAGTATAAAGGTGAAATCCACAGTGAACCTGACGAAAGTAATAAAATGGAAACCAGCCAATGTGCCGTTGCTGGGACAATTGTGAATGGAGGCAGTTATGCCCAAATGGAGGAGTTCCTTGCAGCAATGAACATACCCTCCATGTCGAAGAGGGAATTCAGAAAGCATCACGATAAAATCGTAGAAGCATTAATTGTTGCTGCAGAAGAAGAGATGGTAGCAGCGGCAGAAGAAGAAAGACACTTGGCCATTGAAAGAGGCGATATTGTTTCCGGATGTGGAATCCCTCACATCCCCGTTGTGGCCGATGGAAGCTGGATGAAAAGATCATACCGGTCTGGAACGTACGATTCCGCGTCTGGAGTCGGCGTTATAATTGGATATCACACGAAGAAAGTTTTATTTATCGGCGTTAGAAACAAGGTGTGCAAGATTTGTCGATATGCTGCGAAAAAGAAAGAAGAGCCACGAAAGCACACGTGTTTCAAAAATTGGGGCACAAGTCAAGCTTCAACGGCTATGGAAAGTGACGCTATAGTCGAAGGATTCAACACCAGCGTAGAGAAACGTGGGCTTATTTATTCAACGCTGATTGCAGATGGGGATAGCAGCGTTTACAAAAAAATTATAGACGCGGATCCGTATAAAACGCAGATTCCTGTAAAAAAAATTGAATGCACGAATCATTTGTTACGAAACTTTTCCAAAAAAATGAAAGAAATTGTAAAGAAGACAAAACCTGGTCTATTGAGAAAAATCGTTGCAGGCAGCATTCGGCGAATGCGTGCGGACATAGTAAAAGCCGCAGAGTTCCGATACAGTCAGCACGTAACAACCGCTGAGAAAATTAAAAATTTGTATGCCGACATACAGAATATTCCTAGTCACGCTTTTGGTGAACACGCAGAATGTTCAAAACTTCAATACTTTTGCGATGGAACCAGTAAAAAAGATAAAAAGAACTTTGTTCCAGAATTGATGAAGATGGGAGTGTACGAACGCATTAAAGAAATACTTCGACCTCTGTTGGCGCATGTTGATAGTTTGCTTTATAACAGCAATAATAATGCTGTCGAAAGTTTTAACGGAATTATCGCCAAATATACGGGAGGAAAAAGATTGAATTTCAGCGAGAGGGGATCTTACACGGGAAGATGTGCTGCTGCTGTCCTACAGTATAACACAAAACAAGTATTATCGCGTCTGAATACGGCGATGAACAAGAAACCGCCCGTTATTTTACGCAGAATGGAAAATAGAAGGAAGAAAGAACATGAGAAGTACGCTGAAAAGATAAAGGACAAAAAGGTTGTGAAGCACGTGCGGAAACAATTCCGTTTAGAAATGGATTCCAATTACGGACCGAACGCTCAAAAGCCAGATATGGCCAAGAACATTTATGAATTAGAGCAGAAAATACATATGGGAATGTTGCAGAATTGGCAAAATAGAAGTGATGCCATTGAGAAAGAAACCATCGGTTAAGCGAAAAATCCGAGATGGTTAAATTATAAATCAAAACTATTAACGGCCTCGAATTTTTGACGAATATGCCGTTGTCGGATTGGCACGTTCTGTGTGAATTTAATGAAATAATTTGTGTATCCACGACTGATTAGTGCATCTGCAGTACAAGAATGTGAAAAATTAGCCGTGAGTAACTAAGCACATACATTGGTGTTAAAATTCAAGAATGTGGCTTCATTCATTGATGCTTCCATCCCATTCTTAGGAGCTTCACCAGATGGACTTATAGACGAAGAGGACATTGGGAAAATCAATGTCCGAAAACGGCAGAGAATTTATTGCCAGAGGAGGCAATCAAAAAGTGTTGCAATTATTCGCCGGATATTTGCAGATGCAGAAGGAAACAGATTAAACAGCAACCATTATTATTACTACCAGGTACAAGGACAATTACATATCACAGGTAGAAAATACTGCTTATTTTGTATTTGGACCCGAAAAGGGTTATACTATATGCCATACTATATTTCTTTGTTTTGTTTAAAAAATTTGTTACAGATTTTAGAAGAAAGGATTCCCGAGAAAAGGTTTTTAGTGCGTATCGCCACGTGCTACACTCTAAACAAAAAACGTTAAAAGGAATTTATTTAATCATCTATTTCCATTCAGTTTTTCTTTTTTAAATTGCATGAACATTTTTGTCGTTGAGAAATTGAAGACAGCATATCTGTAATAAATGTCACATTTTTGAATTGGGGGCTACGTTTGGCGAATCTCACATAATCCATCGGGTAGCCTCGGTAGGTATGTGTAACAGCATTTTCCTCTTCTCGAAAAAAATTGAAAAATTATATACATATAGGTATATTCAAGAAAGCGTTACTAGGACAAATGGAGTACAAATATGCTGCCTGATCACGTATAATTGGCAAGTATAATCTTACATCATTAATATTACGTTATCTATACATAAATTACTTTCTTCAGAGATGGAAACAGCTAAGGAAGAAGAGGGAGAAAAGAAAGAGGACAGAAGAAACAAGAGGAAAAGGTACAAGGAATAAAAGAGAAGAGAAAGGAGAATCTAACGCCGTCGACATCGCAGGTAAGTAAAAGCGTTGATTCTTCTATGTAATAAATGTGGCAGAATTAGATTTTTCGTGAAATGGAAATTATGTCTACAACAGTAGCCACTGAATTTCCATGATTGTTGTCATGGGAACCGACGATGTAGACGCCGCGGAGAAAGAAGAGGCTGAAGCAGGCGGCGGGCGACGGACGGCCAATTATTGTTTATATTTATTGATTTTATTTCAATCAGTAAATATTATATGTATTGTTGAACTTTACTCTTATTGTTTTATTAAATAAAGGATACAAAAGGATTTAATACAAATAATGCACGCCTTTACCTTTTTACTTATTATAACGTAAGTGACGCAGTTAAACAAAAGAAAAACATAAGAAAATGAACTGATGTGAGATATTCACACTCACACATACTACATCACACACGCCATCTGACCATTAACTCTCTAACACTCCTCCTTGATTTGATATGCGAGTGCGAGTATGCATACACACATCAAATCGCTTTACAAATACATATTGTTATTTTTCTCTTACTCTTGACTCATTTCTTAATTTTATAAACTTATCTTTACAAAGTGCTTTGGTTAAAATGTCGGCCAGATTTTCATTCGAATATACGTATTCTATGTCAATAGTTTTTTCTCTACCAAGTCTTTCAAAAAATGCATTCTGATGTCTTTATGCTTACTGCGTTTTGAATTTTCTCGATTCTTGGACATAAATATCGCAGTCTTATTGTCACAATAATTTCGTACCTGTGTTCATCTGAAAGTTTGATATTAAGTCTGATATTAGGTCCATCAAATTCTGAGCCGCTTCATCTTTCGATTTCAATAACTTGACTACTGTGAAATGTGAGTAATCGTCTACTAACACTTGGAAATATGTATTTCTCATCCTCACAAGTCGCAGGAGTTATTGGTCCCGCAATGTCAGTATGTATTAGATCATCTATTTGACTTCAGCGTTTTGGTTGTGCATAAAAAGGTTTCCTGGTTAATTTTCCCTGTATACACCTGAAATAATCCCAGTGCCTCTAGAGCTGTAGTAGGTTTTTACTAATGACGTGTTTCACCACGTCGATCGCTTGCAACTGACTGCCGTTTTTCGCAACGTCGAACGGTCAATCCGCCACCGATCTTCTCTTGTTCGGGTGTCTGGAATATTTTGGGGAATATTCCAGAATGCAAAATACGTATAACGTAAAATCGACTATAAATCGACAGTCTTCTGTGCCATAGGTTTGATGATGTAATAACAGTATTGCAACATTCCTTGTTATCACTTAGATTTATTCATATCAAAAATAGTCTGTTTACTTCTTCACACTTGAATGTATTTTTCTCATTCTTAATTGATACTTCTTTTTTGCAGAAGGACACTGTATTTCCCTTTTTTGTCAATTGTACAACCGATAGTAAGTTTTGTGCCATTTCTTCAACGATTAAAGCTTCAAAGGATATTCTGTGATTCTGACACACACCTTTTATCAATCCTTTCTTTCTGGCCTTCATAACTCTCCCACTAGCCACCTTGCTTCCTTTTGTAGCATTTGTACATCTTCCATATACTTCTCTAGGTCACTCAATACCAAATGTTATTGTCATTGACCATTCCATTGTTAAAGGTTGCAAATGCAATTTCCTTTTCCTCTTCTCAATTTGCTTTATTTGTGCTCTCAGCTGCACCTCAGCCAATTCCACGTAATCTGTATCCTCTTTCTCTTTTAAATGATTTATTATCATGCTTTAATTTGTAACAGTCATTTGCCTTATGACCTTCTTTCGCACACTTATAGTATACTAATTGTAAGTGCAAGGATTTAGAAGTACCTTCTTCTGAGCACCCTTTATAATTAGTTTTGCTTTTCAATTTAGATTCTTCGTCTAATAGCCTTGACTTTACAAATTCCATGGTTACGTCGTTATTCAGTGTTTCTATTACTGTTATTACAGATTCATACTCGTCGCTGAGTGACAAAAGTAAGTAACATACCTTGTCAGATTCTTCCATTTTGGAACCAGCATTTTCCAATTCTCTTATTATTGTATAAAAATTTATTAATTTGCATCTTTTAGACCAAAAAGATCTACCTCTTCTATAATCAACGTTTCTGACAACTGTTTTTTTTCAAGTAGAGACTACACACGAAATTTCCAATTATTGAAATTTCCTGATGCAAGTTGAGACAAATTTATTACTTGATGAGCCATTTTATTTTTACCTCTTTATTTGAACCTTTGTTTTAAAAATTAATTGCAGACCGCGTAGTCTGGGCCCATAACTTGTTTAACTTTACTCTTATTGTTTTATTAAATAATGGATACAAAAGTAATTTTTAACAAAAAATACAACCCACTTCAAAATGAGCTAAAAAGTATGAAATAATTTCTATTTCACTTATACCAATAATCCACAGCTATTAATAAAATCTATTCAACCTTTTCGAAGGCGGTGCAAAATTAAAAACTTTTCTTTTATTCGGAAGATTCTAGTTTATCAGGGGTTGGCAAGCTATGACATGCCGGTTACCGAATGACCCATTTGACCATTTCCAACGAGAATAGACATAATAAGTATCGTGGCATACTCATTTGTATGTATGTGTGGGTGCCGGAATGAAATGACCACAACCAGTGTTGGTAACAATAACTTTTATTTTATGACACTACGTATGTACTCAGGGCTCACAGTGACTACAGATTGCTACAGATCCAAGATAGTCACTGGGGCTGGGGCTCAGAAAACGCCATAATACAAGAGAGCGTCCTTTGAGATCGCGCCAATACATAGGCGCCGTCAGGTGGCGCGCTAGTCGCGCTACCAATCCACGGCTAGGGAAATACCCTAGCACCGCTACATACAGGGTTGAATCATCCGAGCCACAGCCGACTCTAGTACTAGCCGTGCTGAAGTAAAAATGGCAACACCGCGGGAGTCAGGTCTGAATATATCAACACCTACCCTACTCTATCTGCCTCCTGGACTCACGGACTCTCAGCCAATCAACGTCGTCAGACTCCCGACTACTCTCTGGACTTCATATAACCTCTTTGGTTTCGTTCCAATAATTTCACTTGTTTCAAGGTTTTTATTAACTTATATACACGTTCATCAATTCTTAAATGTTTCAATTTGATCCAAAGATGGTTTCATTTTGCTTCATACCTAAATTTTCTTGAAACCACTGTAAATATTTCAAATATCATGCTTCACAACATCAATCTACTTTGAGAGTACACAAAATATATATCACATTTATAACAATTTTATACTACCACATTACTTCTATTTGCCATAGTTGCAACGTTTATATATTGTTTATACATAATTAACACAAAATAGTGTATATTACTACAGCTTTTAATTAAAAAAGACGTTAATTACAATTCCGAGCACAGGACTTTGTTTTTGAAAATAGGACTCCCGATTGTCACGTGAGCGGTGTTGCCACGTTGTTCAGCATGGCTAGTACTAGAGTCGGCTGTGGGTAAGTACGAAACAAGTAATATTTTATTTTTGTTAAGAAAAGTTTTTAATTTTATGCCGCCTACGAAAAGGTTGAAATATATTTAGTATACTATTTAACGATCAAAGAGGTTTTATTAATAGCTGTGGAGTATTGATATAAATGAAATAGAAATTATTTTATACTTTTTAGCGCATTTTGTTAATGCAGCAAGAGGTTTCATTAATAATTGTTACACAGTTTTATAAATGAAATATAAATTATTTTACACTTCTTGGTGCTTTTTGAAGTCAGTTGTATTTTTTGTCACAAATTACTTTATTAAAATTTTTTTTTTTTAATTTTTCCCAAATTCCAAAATGAAGCTTTAAACAACATTTTCGCAAAGGATAATGTTATTCAGAATCACCCCAGCTATCACCCCCTTAAACCGCTTACACTTTTTGTGGGACACCCTGTATATATATCACAAACCAATTCCACCAATATTACAGATTTATAGCGTAATCTGAAAATAATATTATATGAATGCTAGAGAATTATCGTACAAAATTTAACAATGAACAAATAATAACACAATTTCTGTATAAGCATTTATAGTACATTTAAATACAGTATAGTGTATAGTACATTTCTTATATTTTTCGTGCGATTTGCGTCCGACATGCCGTATTCGAGTCACGTTGGTTGCAATGAATTTGAATATAAGTGACCTAACAGTCAATATTGTGTACAACACGAGATTGTAAAAATTATTGCAATTTTTAGAATACACAGTGAGGAATATACATTAAGAACACACAGTACGGATATAAATAGCCAAAAATGATCAAGGATTTTGTTATCCCTGTAAACAAAGATGAGCTGTTGCAAAGGCAAATTGGAAAATATAATGTTAAACAAATTGTTCCAGTAGGTGTAATTCCGCAAGCTCTTGATGGTATGTAATTAATGTTATTTATTGTTTTCAATGCAATTTTTTTATCTAATATTTCTTACATATTATTACTTTGTTACTTTTTGTTTTACAGAAGCAAGAACAGCGCTTCAAACCAGTGGAATTAGTTTTATTTTTGAACATTTTGATACATTTTTTTCTATAATTGTTCATAGAAATAAAATTGAATTGCCAATTGTTATTCGTGGTTTTTGTAGAATTCATAAAGGTAAGGAATGTTATTTTCATATGTGTTATGCTTATTTAAACATTATTATATGGCAATAATACATTTAATTATTATTTAAAACAGCATTAGAAATATTGGTTGTGGACATGGAAAGTATATTTGAAAAGCAGACTGCATTAAACGAAGAGGAGAGATTGAAATTTATAAATGTGACTAAAATGGTTGCATATTTGTTTTCATTGTTTGTTTGCTATATAAATGATGAAATTCTTAAAGATGGAAGTGATAAACTTAGTGGAAAGGTTTATATAATATTTATAATTGTATTATAAAGATTTAATATTTTTATGTTAACTAATTTATTTTATTTAGCGTAAGAAAAGCACTAGATCTGATACGGAAGAAGAATGGGAATATACTAGAGAGAAAGCATTAGAATATGTTTATAGATTATTACAATTACCGTTACAAAAACTTTGGCAACCTCCTATTGTTGAAGACTCATTCACCGAGTAGGTTTGATACATGATCTAAGAAATTATTCTTATGTTAAAGTAACAAAAATTTTATTACTCTAAATAAAAAATATCATTTAACTTGTTGATTTAATTGTTAATGCTATGTTGTAGAATACTCACTAAAGTGTGTTATAAAATGATAGAACAGTGTACAGATTCCAAACAAAAACATCTAAGACAAACTATTTTTGAGGTAAAATTCTTTAAAGTTTTATTAAATTGTTTTGAATTTTAACATACTCATAATTTTTTAATAAAAGATTTTAGGTACTTCGGTTAAGAGATATCATCATGGAATAAGCTGTGTAGTAAGAATGGTTCAGGTGCGTATATTTAAATTTTATTTAAATAACAAAATTTGTTAATAGTATCAATTAATATTGTAGTTGGTGAAATTACGTGATGTGTTAGCATCACATATAGGAATTGGAGTGGTACATATGATTGATGAATGTGGTTGTAATGGTTTATTAAGGGAAATAATAAAAGAAATTGATCAAAGCGAACCATCCGAAAGTGACTGTCGTAATATTTCAGTATTTCTTGAAACCATTGCCACTGCTAAACCAAATCTTATAATTCCTATTCTTGATGATATAGTAGATTATCTGTCTAGTGAAGTACGTTTCTATTAGTTTAAGTATAAAATTATATATTAAGTTTACTTTATGTTTGTTTATACCATTTGCAGCATTACACTATGAGAATTTGCATTATTAACATCTTAGGAGTAATTGTAGAAAAAATATTAACCGGAGATGAGCTTACGCAAGAACAGAAAAATCAGCGTGATGAATGCCTCAATATTTTAGAAGAACATATTCTAGATGTTAATGCTTATGTACGGTCAAAGGTTTTACAAATTTGGCAACATTTATGTTGTGAAGGAGCAATTCCTTTAGCAAAGCAAGGAAAGCTTTTAGCTGCTGCGGCATTACGATTAGAAGATAAAAGTACAATTGTACGGAAACAAGCTTTGCAGCTGATACGTGCGTTAGTTCAAGGCAACCCTTTTGCAGCTAAAGTATGCATAATGTTAATTTTTTCTTTTTATTATGAATACAAAATCTAATGAAATGAATCGTGTTTTTAGTTAAACAAAGTAGAGATTTCTAAATCGTTAGAGAAAGAAGAAATAACGCTAAGAAAGCTACAAGCTGAAACTGTTAGTAGAAGTACTCGTGGTGATAGTCAGAGATTAGAATTATGGAATGCTTTGCTTCCGAAAATAAGAGAAGCATTAAAAGAAGTTATTAATGGCACGAAAGCGGGGAGCGACAAACGAGGTATGTTCATTTTATTCAGTATGATGCATGATATGAAGATACATATAAGTTAAATGAGCTATTTTATAGATCTAGAGGATGAAGATGAAGAAAATATTGATATTGACCCTAATACATCGTTTGAACACATCAGACAATTAATGTTAAAAGAAAAAATTCTGGAAGCAGTACAATTTTTGTGGAAGGTTTGTATTAAATTGAAGGAAAGTCCAGAAATTGAAAATTTTTCTGCCGAAGCAAAAGAAGAATGTTTGCTTTTACTTTTATTGAAAACATTTATGGAATCAGAAAATGGTCCAGATAATGTACAAGAAAATGCTGATAACAGAAAATCATTAGATAAAGATAAAGAAAATATAGTAGGAGCAAAACGCGTTGTAAATTATTTAAAGGTATGTATCTAATTATTTCCTATTAATTTTGATAATTCTTTTATTTCTGTATTTTTTTTGTAGCATTGCTTAGAATTTGCCACTGAATTAGAAACGGCTATACCTATGGCAGAAAAATTACTTTTTTCTGAAACTGCAAGCGATGCTGTTGAAGCATGTACTTTACTTGGAACTGCTTATCAGTTTGGTGTAGTAGGAGCTACAACCGCTATACGCGATGCTCTGTATCAAGTATTTCACCGTGATCCATCGGTACGCAATAATATTGCAGAGGTGTATAAAAGTATTTACTTAGTTAATAATGAAAGTCAAAAAGCAGAGCGACAAAAAGCTCTAACATGTGTTAAAGCATTGATTGAATTGTTAAAATCACTTCAACCTAATCAAAGTCCAGCTTTAACTCAGCTAGTTTTAACGTGGTACAATAATAATGATATAAATAGTGAATTACTACAGGTAATATCATCTATATTTAGTTTTATAATTTTTATGTAAGATGTAATCTAATTCTCTAAATTTAATAGGTATTGTGGGAGAAGTTTTCAATGAAGTCCTCAGACACAAATCCATTAGATAGTAGGACAGCATTGATGTTAATATCAATGATTGCCCAGGCTGAAAGCAATATTATAACAGGAAATTTGGAAGTATTGATAAAAGTAGGATTAGGACCACGAGCAAAAACTGATCTGTTATTAGCTAGAGATACCTGTCGAGCATTGTTAAAAATAAAACACAAAAATGATGATATTGAAAAACCTCCTGTGAGGTAAGCTACCTTGGAAAGTGTAATAATTCTTTAATTGTATATTTGATAATTGTAATAGTCATTTCTATTATCATTAGGTATCCAAATGACCATGAAATATTTACAAAAATTCTTACACTACTGACAGAAAACTTTACTAATATGGAAGAAGACGGATATGTTTCATTTGCGACAGATGCAATTAGTACCATTTACCATGTATGAAGTACTCTATGATTTTATTACAGATTTTATAGAACGATATTTTATAAAAAATATTTAAACATTTTAGTTAGCTAATCAACCCGAGCATTTAATAAAGAAATTATTGTTAGAAGTGTATAAACGAGGACAATTTGACAGTGAGTTGCCTGTTCCATTTCTTCTGTTAGCTAAACTGTTATATGTAGTCGGGCACATTGCAATTAGAGAAATGGTACATTTAGACACATCAGTTTACAAAGAATTAAAGCGAAGAGATGTTATACGACAATTACGAAAAGAAAAGAATTCAAATAAAAAAAGAAAAGAATTTGATCGATCTCGGAAATCCATTTCAACGACCACCCCAAACAGTGCAAGACAAATGATTCGGAATAAAGAGGTAAAAGACATAATATAGCAGATGGGTTTTAAAAAGATTATACACCGTGAAAACTATAGACCTTTATGAAAGATCTTATATTATACTTTTATATTTAGACAACTATCACCGAAGATAATGGAGAAGAGGCTGTTGAAGGCGCGGTAGAAGATGCGGATGCAGAATTTATAAATGATGTTCTTGAAAATCACGTTGTAACTGGTGATGGACTTTTATCAAAATTTGTGTATGTGCATAAATTTAATTCTTTTTCTATTTTGTATTGTTTGCATATGCCTATATATTTTGTTTTATAGGCCATTGGTATTAGATGTGTGTCGATATCCTGATAAATATAATAGTGAAGATCTACAAGCCGCTGGTGCCCTTGCCCTTAGCAAAATGATGCTAGTAAGTTCCATTTTTTGCGAAGAGTCATTGCAGCTGTTAATTACGATCTTAGAACGTTCACCCTACCCTAATATTCGGGCTAATGTTCTTATTGGAATAAGTGATCTAACAACTAGATTTCCAAATCAAATTTTACCATGGATGAAACACGTTTACGGCAGGTGATTATAAACACTCGTTAACCAATTCAAGTATGGTATCGTAATTGATTAAAAAATATAATTAACTTTCAGACTTCGGGATGAACATATAACCGTACGAAGGTCGTGTTTTCGAATTTTATCAAGTCTTATACTGAGAGAAATGTTGCGTGTGAGAGGGCAGATATCAGAATTAGCTGTGTGCATTGTTGACCATGACAAACAACTCCGAAATGATGCGAGGCAATTTTTTAAAGTACTTTCACAAAAAGGCAACGTATTATACAACCTGATGCCTGATTTATTATCTCATTTAACCGACTCTGAATTAAATTTGAACGAAGCTGATTTTCACGAAATTTTAAAGTACGTATAATAAATAAGACAAAACATCAAATCGTCATTTAATCTAACAACATATGTTTTCAGGATAATTTTGAATTTACTACAAAAGGAAAAACATGTTGATTCTATAATTGATAAGATTTGTGCTAGGTTTAAACTAGCAACTACAGAAAGACAGTGGCGTGACTTTGCATATTGTCTTTCACTTTTACAGTTTAGTGCAAAAAGTAAATAAGAATTTATTTAATAATTCATTTAAAAAATTTCTTTCTAAAACAAAACAAATTTTATATAGGTTTACGTCGTCTTATTGAAAGTTTGCCTCTACTAAAGGAAAAGATTCATCACAATCAAGTTTCAAAAGCATTGCAATCTATTATAGAGCAGACAAAGAAAAACCCAAATACAAAAGCGATTTCCGTAGAACTGGAAGAAAAAATGAAGGAACTTTTACAAAAAACAGAGAATTCAACACAGAATGATAACGAAATGATGCCACCACCACAGTTGATACCGAAAGCAAGAAAGCGTAGTCGACGAACAACTTCAAAACGTAAAAGTAGGGGTAAAAAAGGAGATGATGATGAAGAAGAACAAGAAGAAGAAGAAGAAGAAGAAGAAAATGATGATAACGATGATGGTGATGATCAAACGGATAACGATTCAAGCATATCTGCAACACGTACGTTTATTAATATGAAAATAGTAATTTTAATATTATATATAACTGATATAAAATTATTTTAGCAAAAGGTAAGAAAAAAGAAAAATCGCATGAACTTCAATCAAGTCCTGGTTCTGATGAATCAATCGAATCTCAAAGACGATGTATGTATTCCGATTTCTGTAAACAAACAATTACTTTTTGATATCTGATTGTTACTATTTTTATTAGCTATTGTAAATCCATCTACGTCAAGTTTAAGAAGATCAATCCGAAACAAGGGTCACAATTTATCATCGCCGCGTCCGAAGAAAAATAAAAAGGCTGTAACACCAGTATGTTCTCCAAAAAGATCTTCAGCACGGTTATCGCACTCATGAAACAAGGAATTAGATTTGTAAATATTGTATACTTATACATATGTACATGTTTGCATAACTAATGTACAATTTTTTACTTTTTTAAAAATTATACTAAGGATAAAAATTAGCAATTAATTATCAGAACCGTGGAAAAATTTTACAAATGATCAAGTAAATATCGAGTTTTTTTTGTATAGAATAATTATTGTTAATTCAAAAAATAAGTTTATTTATTTAAAAATAAATGACGAATTTCTATTATTAAATTCTTTATTTTTAATTATAATTCATTTTTCTTGTATATTACACAGTAATTACAGGATCATCATTATTTTTCAGGTAAATTAAGAAATTTTTTCTGCTGCCTCATATTCTTATTTTGTGACATTAGTTGTTATATTTTGAGTAACAGATTTTGTACGATATAAGCCTGTCATTATTTTGTGTGGTTTCTCTGATGCTATCACATTTATTTTGATAATGCTTGCAAAAGATATGTTGACTATGCAAATTGTGGAATACTTTTATGGTTTGTTTTTATCTACAGAAGTGGCTTATTGTACATTTATGCTAAAATATAATATTTGTGCTAAAGTTGACAGCGAACATTATCAGCAAGTAATTGGTCATACAAAAGCAGCATCTCCTTTTGGTCGTTGTATGTCTGGCATTGTTGCACAATTGATTTAATCATATTACAGTATCAGGTATTTATTAAAATAATAATTTTTAGACTGATGTGAAATAGTTAATTTTTTTTTCTAATACTAATAACTCAAATATTAAGAAAGAAATTTCTGAATTAAAAATATTCAAAAACTATGTAATGGGCATATTTTTTACGTTCTGTTGGTCAGTCCGTTTATTTTCATAAAGAAAATGAAAATTATGAAAACCGTGATTCTGAAATGATTGTATCACAGTCATACAATTTAAATGAATTATTATATATATAGACCAGAACAGGACTACTACAACGATTCTCCCAGTACAAATGTTTCATTGATACGTAAAATAAAACAAGCTTATATTCTATCATGGGAAGATTTTTTGCAAGCATATTCATAGTCATGTTGCAAAATGGTCAATATGGTGGTCATTTTCCACTTCTGGATATTTACAAATTATCAGTTATATACAATTACTTTGATAAACTGGTGTATCATATGGAGATAAGATTTATAATGGAGCTGTAGATTCTTTATACATTATCATATAGGTGAGCAAATATCTTGTATGACTAACGATAAATGTGAAAGGTTACATCGCGAATGGTACATTTCTTGCAGAGTAACACCAAGAAATACATTTTTTGTTGCAACAATAGTTATTAATAACAAATTCCATAAATTTTTGCAAGTGGGATCATCGCGGATATACATCCAATTAAATATGAAAGGTTTCATCGCGATCGGTTCATTCCTTGCAGAGTAAACGCCGAAAAATATAAATGAAGCATTACATTTTTTGCAATAAAAGTCGTTAGCAAAGAAAAAACGGAAAATGTTTTTCTAACAGGAGCAATCGAAGGACATACTCTACAAGATGCAAAAGTTTTTGTTCCGATTTGTCCATCCGTCTCGGAGTAATCGGCGAACATAAGGAACAAAAATACTGATCGAATCGAGTAACCTCTTCCTTTTTCGAAGTCGATTAAAAATTAAATAGAAGAGAGTTGTATCGAATAGGGCTGTCAAAGTTTTTTTACATAAAGAAAAAAAATGAACTAACAGCACGCGGAGTTCCCAAGCGGTCACCCATCCAAGTACTATCCGCGCCGAACTTAGCTTGACTTCGGTGATCGGACGAGAACCGGTAGTAGTCCTAAGTCGTATGGCCGTTAGTTGAAAACAGAGGGTTTACTACTGGAGAAAACTGTTAAAAACCGAGGAAATATACAAGATAATTAAGAAAGCAATTGGTTGTTCATATCCGTGGTATTCCATTGCATAATCTACTGCAATTGTGTAAAATAAAAATGTGGTTAATACAGTTGTAGTTCCGAAAATCTGTCAAATGCGATTCGACTGAAATTTTTGCAAATAGCTTCATTTTGTTGTTTACGATTTATAAGCACGTATATAGAAAGGGCGGTTCGGATAAAAGGGTTGATATCTCCCTCAAAGTGAAAAACGGGCACCAACGAATTACAGTTATCTTCATAAACAGGTCTAATAAATATTTATGCGAAGTTTCATCAAAATCGGATTGTATCAGTCCCCGATGTTCCCTTGTGAGTTGCATTGAACTTGTCGCAGTGAAGTTGGCTACAAATTCACAACCGCATTCACGCAGCATTGGTGAGCCGATTTGTAGCCAACTTCACTGCGACAAGTTCATTGCAACTCACAATACACTGCAATACACGCTCCTACTGACACGACGCACAGTGGGACAAAACGGATCTGATTGAAACGAAGTATATTTAACTAAAACCTCAACTTTGCGTTTGATTTAAAAAAAATGCCGGTACTTGCCGAATGTTTAATTATTACTACAGGGAAGAGGGAACCTTCCTCTATCAGAATCTGAAAAAATTTAGTGCACGTTTTTGCACTTTTTCAAGAAAATGGCGATTGAATGAAATTACACCCATCTTGGCCACTGCGCGCGATGATAGAAAAACAGTACCAGATACGATTATTACTCAGTTAACTGTATTCCACGTGTATATTCGTCATCTAAAACTTTATTTCGTCCTTGCAATATGTCATAATAAATTTTCATAATTGTCGAAACTGTTTTCACGAATGATTTGGTATAGATCATAATAAATATAAATAAATATATTATAATAACACATGTCTTGTCATTTTTTAATTATTAAATCCCTTTCTCTTATAGTTATTAACAGTTTTGAGTCAAATTTTTGTTAAATGACATAAAATATGTCTAACAAGTGAAGGATATTGAACGCGTTACACTTTATACGTGAATATTTTTACACCCTGTAGTTCAATATGATTTATATCGGTACAACTTAAGTACCATAATATAGGTAAAAACTTCCCAAAATTTCATTCAAATATTTCCAATAGAACCGAAGTTACAGATTTTTGATCGCCGAAAGCTGTTTTGTCCCACTGTGCGACGTTCAATCGGTGCTGTGCAGATTACTGATTTTAGGCGCCATTTCGTCATTCACAATTTTCATCTTATTTTGACTCCCAGAATCATCTCTTAAAATTTGTTTCACCTGTTATCGAATATCCTGTATGTGTATAACTATTTAGATTTAAATATTTTCTTTTTGTCACGCGTGTAAGTTTTCCTGCATGCAATTTCTTTCACATATCCCCAACATGAAATTTTATTTCAGTTAGAATTGTAAATCGTGAACCAAATTCGCCGCTAGGCAGTTCCAATTCATTTGTATCGGAAAAGTGAATTCCTTACTCATCGAAGCGGTGATATACGATAGCAATTTGTTCAATTTAATTCATTCAGTAAATAACCGTAATAAATGGTATCATGGCATATGTGGTCAATTAATTCTCTTTGAATAAGACGCTCGAAAGTACAGTTACATTTATAACGCATAATCGAAACGGAATAATTTCAGTTTTACAAGTACTTGGTGCCAAGTGAACACAGTCACTTATCACATTCAGTCATTTATCACATAAATTCATTTATATTTGTTGAGACTAGATTTAGGATTAGATTTTTATAAAAGTAGAGTGTCATGTATCGTCTATTCATGTTGAACAAGATGCTGAAATGACGACAAGAATTTAAATGCAGGTTTGCATTTTACTAGCTTACTTAAACAGATAATTGCAGAGCTATAATTAAACCAGTAAAGTGCACAATTATTTTTAAATTTATTTACGTTATCACCTCTGCGTTTTGTTCATTTATTCACTTTTTTCTGAATTTCTTCATTAATAAGTATTCACTTCACTGTTACAGTGAAAGTAATGTATTTATCTGTTTAATACTAAGCTAACTATATTTCTTCTTCAATGCAAATTGTCACGTCCGGAAAATTTTCCAAAGTCCACCTAACGTTCCCTTATTAAGCCTTCGGGTTATAGGGGTCTCCTCATGTAAGGAGCGTAAGGATAAATCACTTCTACATTATTTCAATTTTCTCTTCGACTCTGTGCTTTCTCATCAAGCCTTCGGGTTGTGAGGGTCTTCTCCATGTGGGAAATGCACAGGGAAGAGTTTGAGCTTATAATTATTCTATTTTTGTCTTTCCTTTCCTTTAGCTTCTCTTTCATTTCTCTATTCTTTTCTTTAGTTTATTACCCCCCCTTGAAGCTATCGTCGTGCTCAATTGCGTAGTAACAGAATTCGGGATAGAAAAACTCGGTTTCGACCGAGGAGGGGTATCGTAAACAGCGTTCGCTGCGCAGTTAGCCAGTGCTTCGCATTATAGGGGTCTCCTCAGGTTAACTGCGCAAAAGCGTAAAGATCAATTTATCTTTAGATTTTTAACCGATACTCTCCTCTTTTTCACGCGTAGGCGCCAGTCGGTCCCAAATCCGATCGTAGGTGCGAATTGAGTGTTGCAATGAAGGTATGAAATAGCATGAAATTCAAATATTCGAATGAGTGCAAAGGCTCGCCACGCGCAACGTAACAGAATCTTCATCTTGCGATCTTGAGGGCCTCAAGCCGGAAAACTGGGAAATTCCGGAAAATGCTTGCCTCTCCTACATAGAACAACAAGGACAGTGCAATAGTCAAGCAGCAGCTAGATCGACATAAAATGTCTCATATTTAGCGATTTCGTAGTTCAAATATTTTGTGATGAAGAATCACTATTTGCTGAAGATTCTTTTATGGAAATATTCTTTCTGCAATTATTCAGCGGTGTACGGAGCCCGATTTTGCAATTTGCCTTTTAAAACTTGTGTAAAAGACTCACAAAATAAATCAAAGTAAATTTCACTTTAAGAAGCACGCGTAGAAACTTTCTATTACAGCTAAATGTTAAGACGTTTGTCAAACAAAACAATGATACTTATCAAGAATCATTGTTATGGGAGAGTATTCTACTCGTCATAATTCTTGATGTACAATCATTGTTGAAAATGTTAATACCGCGTACGGGTTAAATCCTTGATTTCAACCCTATCTCATATTCGTACCTTTTCTTCTTCTACTGTTACTCCCGTTTATCCTTAGGGGTATACATATATCTTTGCATGGTTCAAAATATCAATTTTAAT